ATGAGTCAGCTGCCTCGCATACAGCACTGTCTGAGGACCCTCATTTGCATTTTATCACCGTATAATGAAATTGAAAATTATTGTGGTTAAATCTTAAATCATATTTTATACAGAAACACAAAGCTCATCATTTAAGGTTTACATTTCCTGTATTAACCTTGAATCCGTTTTGTTTTGTAGTCTCTGAGGAATGTGCACATGGTGAAGTGGGCATTTCTCAATCCCACTCACTTACTTTAAGCCTAGGAAACATTGTAGACAAAGTGTATGTCAAGGCCAAAACAACTGAGGGAAGAATGAATTTTTTTTTTTTTAACATTTACTAAGAGTCACAAGATGATTCAAATTTGAGAAGTACATGATTTCAATCTATTATTACAAATATTGTATTTTTGTCAGTTACACTACATTTATATTTTCTATAGACACTTGACTTGAGTAGCGAGGAGTGAGATGGAAAAAAATGCTAAAAATTAAATTAAAAAATAAAAATGACGGTCTAATTCCATAACAGATGGTATCAAATGGTAATAGTGGTACCTTTAAATATACCATGGTGGCAGTGATTGAATATTCATGGTATTTACCTGTTAAATATGTAAATGCCATGGTACATGTTTCAAAAAAAATAAAAAAATAATAATGTATCATGATATGTTTTGGTACTTTTTGCAAGATCCAGTGTTAATTTAATGTGTGGACATTAATAAATTTTATTTTATTAATAAGTAATCAAAAAAAGCAATCATGATGAAAAAAGTCTTGTGGTACTGTTTTGTATTTAAATGTAGAAATGTTTTCTTACTTGAATTATTTATACGTCTTTGAAGTACTTACAGATTTTGGTTGACTTGCGTACAGTCAGACTGAATCGACTCGCTTGTATTCTTTCACCATCTAGTGGCGGCTGCATGTCATTACAATAACCGGCAATTTTACTCTCCTGGGCGCTGTGGTTTACATCCGGGTCGCTGACGTCGCTGTCCTATTGGTTGTGTAACGGAATGGACAACATGTTACAATTCATGAAACTAGTCGGACAGCTAAAAGTGAGTGAATTCCGTGTTAATGCCAATGTTTTGCAGGTTAACCTATGTTATATTAACGCTTGCTTGTGTTACAGCGCGTACCACGAACAGGATGGGTGTACAGAAATATCAAACAGCCCGAGAGTGTGTCTGATCATATGTACAGAATGTCTATGATGGCCTTAACCATACAGGACATCACTGTCAATAAAGAAAGGTTTGTATGAGGCGTCTTAAAATAGAGGATTTTTGCATATGTCGACTGTTTACCTTGGAGCGAACGTAGATGTCCTTACAGTTGTCTGTTTAATCCACAGAATGCGCTTCTCAACATTCATTTAACATTAGGGAAAAGAAGAAAAAATACCACTTGTATCCTCTTCTGGTTCTTGAGATACTATAAGTAACACAGCAACAGTGTTGTAACGTATTACCCGACGGTTTCCATAAAATTGCGTATAAGTTTATCCAACACACAGATCATCATTGTAAGCGAGCAAAAGTTTGTCCGGCAACAGCTGCTAAGGTAGGATTGGTCAGTAGCGATTTTAAGGCGGGGCTTAGAGAAGAGTCAATTATACTTTGATGCGTTCATGATACATGATACATTTATGCATTCATACTTGTGCAGTTCATTGAGATTGATTTACATTTGTGCAGTTCATTTATACTCATTCTCATTTATGCGGTTCAGTTATTCACACTTGTGCAGCTCATTTTGACTCGGTTCATTTAGATTCATTCACATTTGTGCGGCTCTTTAGGATTCATTCACATTTGTTCAGTTCATTTAGATTCATTCACGTTTGTGCGGTTCATTAGGATTCATTCACACGTGTGTAGTTCATAGATTCATTCATACTCGTTCGATTCATGTACATCCATTCGTTCTTGTTCATTTCGTTCAGATTCATTCATGTACACTACAAGTCATCAAGTCGTCGTCTAGTCATTATTCATATAAACTACTAGTCAGTTTTCTTAAAAACCCATTGGGGCTTATACTAAAATTCTTGAACGCAGCTTTCTAGAACAATATAAATTGTACTAGAAGTTTATAAATGAATAAATAAACATTTATTGTAAAATAAAGGTGTCTCCAAACTGGAGCAGTTCCTTGAGATGCATTCACATAATTGACCGGCTCTTCTCTTCACAGATGCATGAAGCTGGCTTTAGTTCATGACTTGGCTGAGTGTATTGTGGGAGATATTGCTCCAGCAGACAATGTTAGCAAAGCAGAGAAACACAGAAGGGAAAGGGTATGATGGTTTTAAGCCAATTTTTACAAATGAAATATTTAGTTTGTGTACACATTAAACATTGAGAATCTTTCTCTTTAGGAAGCAATGGTGCACCTCACAGGCCTGTTAGATGATGGCTTACGGAAAGAGATGTACAGCTTGTGGGAGGTGAGTTGATCAAAACTAAACAACTGGACCAAGTTTTGTGTTCCTTTTTTTGTTTCGGAATGACTGGACTATGTCTCTCACAGGAGTATGAGACTCAGTCTAGTCCAGAAGCCAAACTGGTGAAGGAGCTGGACCAGCTGGAGATGATAATACAAGCTCATGAGTATGAGGAGTTAGAGGGGAAACCTGGAAGACTGCAGGAGTTCTTCACCTCCACTGAAGGTTTGACAAACCTACACATATCTAACAAGCTCAGGATCTGATAAGCAATTCTAAGAAGAGATCCACCCATCAGAAAAATCACTGTTACCATGGCAAAGTAAATTGTATCAAAAGTGCTCAACAGTGGCCGTTCACTCCCATAAAGAATTGTGAATGAAATAATTTTAGTCTGTCTCACCTTACTCTAAGAATAGTTCACCCAAACATCAACATTTGCAGAAAATTTACCCCCAGGCCATCCACGAGGTAAATGAGTTGGATTCTTCACCAGAACAGATTTAGAGAAATGTAACATTTCATCACTTGTTCACCAATAGATCCCATGCAGTGAATGGGTGCAGTCAGAATGAGAGTCCAAACAGCTGATAAAAACATCACAATAATCCACAAGTAATCCCCACAATTCCAGTCCAATCTATTCATAGTATTGCTTTCTCCAGGGAACAAGTCATCTCGTCTGAATAAGGAGAGAAATATGCACAGATCAAGGACTGTTTACAAGCGAAAAGAGTCCAAAACAGTTCCTAACAAAACCTGTCAGTGGATTTTAAAGTAAGAGGACAACAGGGGATGGACTTTTTTTTTTTACTGGAGGAAGCATTGCTATGGATTTTTGCCAGAAGTGATGGTTTAATGATGGATTTGTTTCTTACAAACACCGTTTTAAACATTTCATTTTGGGGGTGAACTATTCCTTTAATTATTTGCATAAAATGCAATTTTGCAATAACTTACAGTTTTCATTCTTACAATTACTGATTCAATGAAATAGCTTTGTATTTTGCCTGTTATAGGACACAGATGTATTTTCTCCTCTGATCACAGGCAGGTTCCATCATCCAGAGGTGTTGGGTCTGGTGAAGAGTCTGAATGAGGAGAGAGCTAGACACATCGCTGCCAGAGCAGATAACGATACAGAGAAAACCACTGACACAATCTCTCACACACACTAGTGACACCATGATCTCAGTTCAAATCAGGCAATGAAGCTACCTCCACACATCTGTACACAAGAGTGTTCATTTTGTCCAGATTAGCGGTGTTTTATTATACTCTTATTTAACTGCACAGAAGCATGGTTTGTGGTTGTTTGATGTTTGTGTCCTGTTTGTTTGAATGTTCTGCAGGAGTTTTGATTTAAAAAATAGATATTTTTTATTCAAACTAAATGGAAATACTTTCAGAAATAGTTTTTCTGTTATTTTTATTTTGATCGTTTTACTGCATTCCAGTAATAGATGCTTTAATAGAAAATAATATTTTCTATCACTTGAAACTGATATTACTTTGTTAAACGCATGAAAGTGCAATGGAAATAATTCAATAATTATAACAACTTTCAAACTATGTTTGTGTACACATTCGGTTCTGATAAATTTGGACTTACAACAGTGACTGACACTAAGAAAGTGGAAAGCAAAGCAGAAGCTAGAAAAAGGATTCTCTATAAGCAACTCAAAGGTCAAAACTGAGCAGCATCTATCTTGTGAACATTTTTGCAGAGACTTTGCCGCACGTTACTGTTTTAGTGACTAAGAAACAGTAAAATTAATGTTCATTTTATGGTTTCTGATTACGATTCAGTTCACCTTATTTTCATGACTGATGAGCTGGGACTTTGTGACTTTGTAAAAAAACGTTTAATGACTAATGTTAATAATGAACGGCAGCTCAACACTGAGTATGAATTTGAAGAAATATTTCGGCAAAAAATCCTGTTCCTTAAAACAACAATTGACTTCAATGTCAATGTTAAATATGTAAAGCTGCAACAAATTTCACACACATGTATGAAGTTAAGAAAAAAACAGGATATAATAATGCTATACATTTTTGGTCAGTGACAATTCTGGTTACCAATACATTACAATTTAAATCAGGCATATTAGATAAGGTAATAAATTACAGTAAAATGTAAATCCTCGTTCTTTAATTTGCTGTTTGCATCTGTTATCAGCAAATATGTGCTGTAGTTATGAGCATACAGCAAGAAACATTAGCACATTTAGGAAAACAGCCTAACATCCATTTAGTTAAACATTCTTTCAAGTACTTCTCTTAGGATTGTATATGCAGCCATTATTTTTGGTCCTGAAAATGTATCATGCTTTGTTACAGTTAAACAATGTTGAGTTAGTATAAATAATAAAGTAATGCAGGACTACACCAAAGACAGACTCCTCGAAAAATATACATATTTTGAAAAGAACTTAAAGAATAAACATTCTCCACTTGGTTGTTTTCGTTCCATGCAAAAGTTAAGAAATATTTTGCACGGATAATGCACCAACACGCATCTGAAAGGCATGTATTACCATGTTTTGGGCCCCCGGTGCCTCCAAACCATTAAGGGTCATCAAAGTTTCACTGGTAGACCATTAAAACCCTTAGCGTTCACTGTTCTCAGTCACGTTATTAGTAGGGGTGTCCTGGGAGCTGGCTTGGGCCGCTGAAGAGAGGACCTCTTCAAAACTGCCCGCATCTCCTGTTCCTCCAACCTTAGACTGCTCGCAACACAAAACTCTCATGACATTGGATAGTATGTTGACATTCAGGACAGTGAAGTTGAAAATGACCAATGATAAGCTGATCAATTATTAACAGCACTGAACTAAGGGGCAAACCAAGCTACAGTTTGCTTGTTTGACCACTAATAAGGTCACTGTATGTCAGGCTTACCTTAATGTTTGAAACTGTGCTTTCGACTTTCTCCTCAAACGACTTGAAACTAGGCGAGTTCCTGTGAAATAAAAATAGTTTAGTTTTATTTACCTAATGTAATCAGTAAACCTCATGTGGTCCATTCAACTGCAGTCCTAAAATCCTCTCCAGGTTGTAATGTAGATGCATGCAAGAATTACCATTATTTACTTTTTTTTTTTTTTACGCAACAAAACCACTATTCATCTGACACATCAACACTCAACTTTATATATGTATATGTGATATATGATGTCACATGCATTTTTGTGTTGTTTGTATCCTAGAACATCACATTTTTTGGACGCTTTAAAAAGTTTTTAAATGCAATAGTAGAACAAACATGCAAAGCAAGCTGTCACACACATTTACCTCATTGTAGGCATGCTCATTGAATGCCGTATAGAATAGCTGTCCCATGAAAGCATGGCCAAGCAAAAAAGAGGTTCGATCATTATCATGGACAAATAAGTACATTGCAAATAAGACACAAAAAATTGTGAATGATTAAAAGTTCTAGTTATATGTAAGTGTAGCCTGCAGCAGTGCATTTCACTACACCTACACTACCAAACGTTTGGGTTGGTAGGATTTTTTAATGTTTTTCAAAGAAATCTCAGCATTTAATCAAAATAGCAAAACTATTAAAATTGTATAATATTATTACAATTTAAAATAATTGTTTTCTATTTGAATATATTTTGAAATGTAATTTATTCCTGTGATACAAAGCTGAATTTTCAGAATCATTACTCCAGTCTTCAGTGTCACATGATCCTTCAGAAATCATTCTAATAAGCTGATTTGGTGCTCAAGAACATTTCGTAATTATCTATTCCGAAAACAGTTGTGCTGCTTAATATATTTGTGTAAACAGCATTTATTTGAAAAAGAAATCTATAGTAACATCATAAATGTCTTTACTGTCACTTTTGATCAATGTAATATGTCCTTGCTGAATAAAACTACTAATTTCTTTCAAAGAGAAACTGTACTGTACAGTTTTTGAACTGTACTGTACAAGCTGGTGACTTTCCAGTGGACAGTATAAGTATAGGTATAGATTCCTGTTATAATTACGCTGCATGTGAACAGGCTAATTGTACAGAACTGTGATCATTTTGCGCTTCCTGTTTTCTATGCATAGTGAGAACTACCTGATAAAAATGGCTATTCAAAGTAGGTGAGATAAAGAGGTTTTGCTATTTCTCTCACAAACCATATATATCAAAACAAGAGTATTACTTGCATTATTTGTTAACACATAAATAGTTAATAGGGGTCATATGATGCTTTTTTAAAGATCATTATTTTGTGTATTTGGTGTAACAGAATATGTTGACATGCTTTAATGTTAAAAAAACACATTCAACATGCTGAAACCAGTCATCTATTAAACAACTGCATGTAGTTAATGTGGGAGACAGAGAAATTATTGTGACTTTAGCTCAATATGGATTTGAACATGCATTGCTGATTAAAAACAAAAGTAAGACCTTTTTATAATGCTACAGCAGTCTGAGACATTGAACCATTTCAGATCTCATATTATCTAATGAATTTATGGCTCCACAGTTTTTTTTCTCTCAGAATCAATGTTTGACACGCATTGAAATTGTATTGAAATATTCATATTAGCTGTTCAGATACTTGAATACCTCTTCACAACCATATTGATTATTTATGGAAACACTGTGTCTGAGTCCTGTCTTGAAGTCAGAGCACCATCACTGTTCTCATGCATCATGCAGATGCTAAAAGAAAGCAGCTATTGCTAATCTCTATCTGGGATCTATAAACACAATATCTTACCCAAGAGAATATGACCTTTGGTGTGCATCAGAGATAGGGAAAGAACACTGTAAATCATTTTTTGATTATAGGCCATTCAACAAAATTTTGGTCATATGAAACCCAAAACATATTTTGAGGAAATATAAAAATATGTTTGTTTGTTTTTTAATTTCATAAATTCTTTTAATTTTAGAGAATTGTAATACAGTGGTCACAAAAAAAAATCTGGACACTTATAAATGGAAATAGGAAAAATATTAAACCAAATGATGCTTGAACTTTTTTTTTAGACATAACTTTT